CTTTGCTTGTAATAATAATCAGAAAAGGAATGAAAAATGTTTGCAGAGCTGCGATCCTGCAATGTTAACACGCCGGTGATTTAGTGACGTCGCAAAAGCACCTAATTTTGTATCACTCACCACCTCGCTACGAGCCGAGTATCTGGGAGAGGGACAGGAAGAAAGAGAACGTGTGAGAGAGAGAGAGAGAGAGAGAGGAGGTTATTTCGAAATATACGGGACAAGGTTCGGGCTCTCGCCCGAACATCGGAGAAGGCTGTAATGAACATGCGTATTTATAAACCACCCTCGTGTGTTATTCAGCCGAAAAACAAAAGCCCCGACGTGGGAAAATTAATTTCTCGCGTCTCACCCGGCCGCGCTCATATTCTCCGCACAATCTCCAGTAAAAATTATTACCGCGTAACTGTCGCACCAGGACGTCGTTGGCAGGACGTGCGACCCGACCCGACCGGATATATATCACGTACTATATACGCAGAGCATAAACAGAAGTTCGTTCGTAAACACATTCGCGCGATATCAATGATCGTTTGATTATTATTTATTATGCCTCCTCTTGTGCGTGCATGATGTGTTTTATACGCGGATACATAAACCGCGTGTAAAACAAGCCCGCTTCACGGCATTAAATTGCAGCCTGAGATTGGAAGAAGTTCAACATGTATGCTTCCTCAGTGGATCCTGCGGAAAGGACGATGACACCGGCTTTCTCCCTTAACCCACCAAGTATAACCACCTCCGAAATACTTCAGAGTTTTATTCTCGCAAACTTTGCTCCTTTCTTCCTCTCCCGTCCTGCGAGAACGTCGTATTGATCAAGAAATGATGCGATTGCATGGAAGAAACGGAAGTTTCCGTGTACGATAGTACATATCGGAATAAACGGAATAAACATCCCAGGTCCGAAAGCGAAGAGCGAATGGCCTCGACACGAGAGCTCGCGCAAACTTCCGTTCGCCTAACAATCGCTGAAACGCTGCGGTTTCTCGGCACGTCGGTGTGATACGTTTCTGGATAAAGTCGACTTTTCGTCGCACCGCCGCGCCGGCAATAACAGAATTTTATTCGAACGATTATACGCATAAATTATTCATCGCGCCGCTCTCGCGGAGTCTCGTCAATTCGATTTAAGAATTAATTTATTCATATTTGCGAACTTACGGATGGCCGAGTGAATGATTTACATAGACAACTGCCTGGATAACCACATCGCGAATGCGCTTATCTACCGTCATTGTGTCATTTCCCCTGGAAATTTGAGCGAATTACTGAGGTAGTTGCGCGCGGCTATTCGTCTTACAAAGTCGAAACTGCGCGAAAGAATATGATAATTACTGTTTTTTCCGCATTCACTTTTTATTGTCTCCGCATGCGATTACCATCGATACATGATTGAATATATAAAAGAGAAAAAAGTAATATACCGCAAATGAATAGCGGTAGATCTCAAAGACAGAGACGTCTGAGAATTTCTTTCTCTCCACTTCATTTCAATCCCGTAATTGCCGCGTGTTATTAATCTCTCAGGAAAATCCTTCTTGTTGATATATAGGGTGTCCGGAATCTTTTGGATACAAAAAATTATGAAGATTAATTAGATCAAACTGAAAGGAAAAGTCATGTACCATTTTGCAAAAACCGTAATAATTATTGAGCATTAATGATTGAAAATGACCACATGAGAAGACCAGCTCTTTTATTAGGCTGATGCAAAAATAATTGCGGTTCTTATCGTTTTAAGTTGGTGCCGATTTTTCTAATTACTGTTATCTTTTCCAGAGTTTTATCTTATAGGAATAAACAAATTTGTTTCCCGTTAGGAGAAATGGTCTTTAGTGCAGGCCAATGGTCTTTATTTTGATTAATGAATATAATTTTCAACTGATATATGTGTCTTTATACTCAATACGTAAAAACCGCAAATATTTGTGCGCCAACCTAACGATCGATAATTTGAAAATTTCCGTATTCATTTGCAAAATGCTAAAGGACATTTTTGCTCACAATAACCTAATCTACAATTATATGACGGCTATTGTTGAACCCTGAATCTTGACCCTGTCGCTAGGCACAATAGCCGTCATATAATTGTAGGTTGTTCTGGTTGTAAGTCGTTCTGAACAAAAGAGTCCTTTACCATTTCGTGTAATAAGTACGCAAATTTTTAAGTGAATCTCTAAATATGCTCATTTTCAATCATGAATAACTTGCATTTTTTGCAAAATGGTACTTGACTTTTCTTCTCAGTTTGAACCGATTAATCTTCACAATTTTTCGTTCCCAAAAGATCCCAGACACCCTGTATATTTGCATTCTCGTTCGTTTAAGAGCGCCTAGAAGGAAGTAGACAAAGCGAGATTAATTTGCTAATAAATTAAAATAATGAAAACAATAATCATTAGACCGGCGACGGTACGCGAGAGCACTTTCCACTCCACTTTTTTCCCGTTTTCATTAACACCGCCATTAATGGGACTGCTCCTCCGTCTTCAATTAATTGCAGAACTATCGGGGTGTGCGCGAACGCGCACCTCTCATTTCCAATTCACGGAGTCAATTAATTAACTGCTGACGAGCGTGTAATTTATTGGATATCGCTTTGCGGCATCATGATCCCACGTCATTTATCACGCTATAACCGGCACAATTATTCCGTGATAACAATTGCTACTTCGAAATTCGCGGCGTAGGAAATTGATAGCCAGCCCCAGTGCACGCCAGAAAGTGCGTCGCTGTTGCGACAATCAGTTTCACGCGCCTCTGTTTACGCGAATGGGCGAGCAATTGTTCTAGCGCGCTTTTCATTAATTCTCTCTCTTTCTCCCCTCCCCCTTTCTCTCTCTCTCTCTCTCTCGTTTTAGCGAAGATGAAAAAGCTAAAACGAGTTATATTCGATAGTTTTCGAGATTTTTTACCTGTTACGTTTGAAATTTAGCACCCTGTATATATAACGTACGTTGATTTTCCGAATGAAAAGTATCCATCACAAATATTATAGAGAAATAACAGTCGCGCTTGGACATCAAAGCGACGACTGCAAGAGTGCTTGACGGAAGTAATCGGCGAACTACGATAGACCAAATCACAAGGATCAAGGAAGAAAATGGCAAAATGGCAATCAAAGTCTACGGGAGTCGCCCCGTTCGGCGGCACGTCTTCGGCACGCGCGAGCGATCGCGATGTTATGGCACGTTTCCGATGAAAGGACGATAACGCGCCACGATGATGTGCGGTCGCTTTAGCGTGATATAATCGAATAGGAGTATAACTGGAGTGGTCCTGAAAGAGCAACATGCCACGCCTACGTTTGCGCGTCACGCAAAATTAGATAGATGGATAGATACATAGATAGAGGGAGAGACAGAGAGACACAGAGAAACGCGCGCGCGAGAGGAAATGCCGCGATTGTCTAGTTCATTAATCGCGTTTATCGGCACTGCTTAATGACGTGCGTAATGAACGTCCCACATCGTCTCGTCTCGCGCTCGCGTGCCACGCGTATCGTTGTTATTTCTGCTGAAAATTTCGCGTCGCGCGGACGCGACTAGACGCTATAATGCCGCCTTTGTAAATGATATGCGACAGGTGTCTCCTATTTCGAAATTGCGCCGCAAACACTTTTATACGTACGCGCGTTTTAATGACAAATTGCACAAACTCCGCGAAAATAGCCGCGGCGGTGTGAAAATAAAGGTTCGGGAGCAACACACACGGGCGCGCGCAATCCACGATAGATATAAATTCGCGCGCGAGTACGATTTTCAGACGGCGGCCAGATTAACGTTGGTGGGTCTTTGACACGCAGAGGAGTCTTACGCAAGCACTCTCCCGAGCGAGCTGCAATGAAAATCCTTCGTCTCGCGAGAACTGTTCGCCTCTCTTATCGCGTATTATCGTGAGAATATCCGGATAGAGCACGTATTGTTAATTCAAGCAAAGTGTATACAAATAAGGGGAAAATTGTGGCACTTTGGTTCATTCGGCTCACACGTGTTCCTTTGTTTACGCATGTCTTGCAACACATTGGCAACCTACGATAATTCAATACAATGTCCCGAACCCTCCCAAATATTCTAATTCGGTTAGTTTTGCAACACCCAAAAAATACTTTCAGGACAAGCGGAATCATCGAAATTTAAAAACATTTTACTCTTATACGTGGCCTCAAGAGGATTCCTCTAAGATTAAGAGGAAAATATTATAAACACATTATTCTTAAAGTTAGAGGGATTATATGTTATATGTATAATGCAAATCTTATTGGTTTTAATTTAAATTTCCTCTTATACACAGATTATTTAATCTTTATTTAAGAGGATTATTATTTATTCTTACTGTACTTTATTCTTACTAATGATACTGGTTAACTTGAAAAAAATTGTTATAATGTATAGCGGAAAGTAATATATATAGATGTACTTCTAGCTCCAGTTCTACAATAAGTAGGCACGAATGAAATAAGATCACCATAACAAATAAATTTCCAATCAGTTTTGTTATGGACTTTATGGCTAACAAAGATGTTCATTATAACCAATTGTATGAAACATAGTTAAAAGAAAGAATATATTATTCAACTTCTTGCAGTGGATTATAAATTGTATTTGACCAAATATGGATAAATTATCTTTGTTATATGTTACTGCAATACACATACCTTTTTTAAAAAGCGTTCCAGATATTCTCACCTATCTTGACCCATAAACATATAGTTAATTTTTCAGTTAGGCCTGGAGACAAAGCAGCCGACATTCGCCGACATTCAAATCAACATATTCCTCTTCATATAAGAGAAAAATTAATCGATGTAAGAGGAAATCCTTTTAAAATAAGGATAATAATAAGGATAATATTTAATAAATTTTAGATAAATGCTTCACTTTGATCGCTTTATCGAAAGAGGAATCCTTTTCCTGTAAAAGCTTCGCTTAGAATATGTGACTATGAGAAAAATCACTTTACAAATAGAATACTTTTTTTTTGGTAAAACATCGCGCTTCCAAGCTGTACTGAGAGAAAACATCTCGCAAATAAAAAATATTTATTCATACCAACACGCATATTTTTATACTGAGGAGACATTCTTTCCCTCCAAATGGAGGAAATATACATCTCTTTAAATACATCTCTTTAGCTTCTCTCTCGTGAAGGTGAGGTTGTTCATTCGAGACAAATAAAAGACTTTCAATTTGAATAGATGTCTTATCGGTGGTCACCGAGAAAATATCTTTTATTGTTTAGTAGACATTTTCCGCTCTCAGCGTAAAGTTGAATATATCCGCGGATGGAGCCGCGGCGGAAAAGCCCAAAGCACGTCAAGTTCCCGCTTAGCGGCGTGGCTGATTAGAAGCTCTCCTCGCGGAATGTTCCGTTAGTTCAAGTGCATTATCGACGTAAGCTTGAGCGCTTAGCGGCGACCACATGCCATATTTTGCCGTGTTCAGATACGCTTTTACAAAAGCGCACCTGCTTACAGTTTCCGACCTGCTATCGCGAAATTGCCGAGTCATCCTTCGAAGAATGTTCAAACGCATTCCGCGACTACGAGTTTACAGAGTCGTGATGAAAGAGAGAAAACGCAAATAGTTGCGGGTGGATTCGCGCCAACTGCGCGCAACTTGGCGCGCGAATACACAGGGTCCATGCAATAATTAATGGATCCTAAGTCTTCATCGCGTTATCGTTATCGACGCGGCGTAAATATCACGGCCCCGCGCGGCACTCGTATTTATACGAGGTATATCCAGAAAGTAAGAATACAAGGGCTGTATAAGACGTAGGGATTTTTTTGTTGCAAAGTTGGCACCCGTGACGTGTAGAGGGGTTCGTAACGGTCAAAATAAGCCATCGAGCGCCTCAGTCAGTTACGAAATGTCGTCGCAGCAGCCTAATACGTCAACCAGTGCGTCCTCCGTTCGCTCCACCTACAGCAGGTGTGAGATTCGTTCAGTCATTCGGTTCCTCACTTCAGTCTCATTCTCTTCAGTCTCAGTATGACAGTCTCTGCAGTGGCGCCATACCCAGTCTCCATTCTCCAAAAAATTCAAAGTTCAATCTTCAGAGAGGAAAATCATGGCGTCTGTGTTTTGGGACCGGAAAGGGCTCTTGTTGGTCGATTTCATGCCTAAACGGACCACCATCAATGCTGCTGCATATTGTGAGACCCTAAAGAAGTTGAGAAAAAAAATCAAAGACAAAAAGAGGGGAATGCTCACTCGTGGTGTGTCCCTCCTTCAGGACAACGCCAGACCCCATACCGCCCGGCTCACTCAAGACCTGCTCGTGTCGTTTGGATGGGACATTGTGACTCACCCACCCTACTCCCCTGACCTGGCACCCTCGGATTACCATCATTTCAATAAATTGAAGGAGTTCTTGGGTGGACAGCGCTTTTCGAACGATGAGGAGGTCATGCAGACTGTGACAAAGTGGCTTCAGGAGGTGGAGCGAACGGTATACGACGAGGGTATACAAAAGCTGGTGGCCAGGCTTCAAAAGTGCATTGACCTCAACGGCGATTATGTGGAGAAATAATAACATATTTTGGCACATACCATGTAAATTTCAATAAAATATATTCATTTTTCGATTTTAAACAATTATTGTTCTTCTTACTTTCTGAATGTATCTCGTATATCCCGCGTGTTATCACCACGAGCGCAGGAAGAACTACCCGTTTCGACCGACGTTTGTCGCGCAAACACGCAAATCGCTAATTACGTTAATAGTAATAACCGTAACGCGCGCACGGCGCCTCCTCCTCCCTTCGTTAGACTTTCCACCGCGTTGCCGGGCTCGTTAATTTGTTACAGCGCACAAAGCGGCGCAACCGCGGAATAATGAGCGTTTACTTGCGAACGGTGACTTCCTTCCTGTGGCTTTTCGCGAATCGTCAGTTGTGCGTCGCGCGGGAAAAAGAAATCACGCCGCAAATGCCAGGATTGCCTCCCTGAATTGCTAAAGTGACCGTTGTCGCGCAGCCGCATAACAGTAAATCGAGCAAAATCGCGCGAAACATCCCGATTCGGGAGAGTCTTTCGTACTCGTCCCGCAGCTTCCCCTTTGCAAACTGAGTTAACCGTACGCTTCCGAGAAATTTAATCGTCGCATCAACGTAAAACACTCTCGTGCCCAATTGTCGAGACCATAACGAATCGCGCGAGACGAGGGTCCCGGATATGGAGAAGGGTGGAACATGAGTTATTCATCTCGCAATTTTCTGAATAAATTCTGCCCGGAGAAAAGTCTCGAGCTTTTTCTCTCGTTCTTGAGAACGAAAGCGGTTTATCCCGTGAATTCATCTTTGAGGTTTTGTGGAATGGTCACGTGGAATCGCCATCTTTTCTCGAGGTTGTGTTCGAGTGACCGAATGAAGGGAAAATTTGCATCGCTCGACTCTGCCGAGCGATTTCGCCGGTCGAGCAACGCAAATTCAAATTCATCGGCCGAATCTCCGAAATATTCGGCAATCACGTCCACTTTGTTCCTTTCTCTCTCTCTCTCTCTCTCTCTCTCTCTCTCTCTCTCTCTCGAGCGCGCAAATTCGACGGTTCCGTGCGATCTTGACTGCACAACCGCGGAATTCGCGAGGCGCATACCGACGATACTGCATCGAAAGCCGCAAACGAAATATAGCAGCGCGAGCACACGCGGACAAATAACCGCGAATACTTATTTCTCCCGCGTGTCACGCGAGGCAATAATACCGTACGACGCACGATAGGATCTCTCATTCGCTAAATATAATTTTCCCGCTTTGCGCGTACGTGACCTCGCCAAAGTGGTAAACAAAATCAGTTTGTCGACACAGCAGCGAGGTAACGCCGACACTTTTCCGACGTGCGTGGAAGTCCACCGGCACAATCTCGCTGTAACGCGTACAAACCGTTCTTACGGCTTGCCGGACGAGTTATGTACAGTGAACCGAGGAACTCGTCTTACGGTACTCTCCACTGTGCGGACAGAATCAATCGTACTTCCCGCAGGTTTACGATTGCTCGCGATCGACGACGGTTACGTGTCGTCGATCGCGAAAAAATATTTGGGTGCAGTTCTATAAAGTGCAACCCTCTGATTGGGGTCAATTTTTTAGGAAAGCTTCTCCTTAGCTCAAAAATTAAAACTCTAGAAGGATTTTTGGCGGCAAAGCCCCATTCACCCCCTACTCTCTCTCAAAGTTTAGACCGTTTTTTTACTATATCTCCGAAAATATTAATTTTAGAGGAAAATGTTTCAGACAAAAAATTAAGTTTCTGAAAAATTCTACACAAAGGTCATATGTTTATTAACGTAAATGTAATACTTTTGCCGTTATGTTAAAAAATAGCGGTAATTGTTTAGAATAGAACCTTTTCCGAAGTTTTCTTTTTGTTGGGCGTTGTGTTGAAAAGATCTCCTTAAAACCCACAACATCTTTATACCACGATTATATGCAGATATAATATAGTTAAGTTGAGCTAGATGATAAATCTTTAGAGGATTTTTTCAACAATGTCCAAAAATATATAAAGATGCAATAAATTAGGTTAGGTTAGGTTAGGTTAGGTTAGGTTAGGTTAGGGAGGAGCCCTTCTCCCGCTTATATGTACTGTTTAACATTGTTTAATGTACATTATATCTAAAGAAAATGGGCTCTATCTGTAAAATTTCACTCGTTTATAACTTTTTAATAAACAATGAACGACAGGTAAAATCTTTTGATTGTTACTCAGGAAAGTTGATTCTATAATATATATCAACGTCAAGACTATGGGAAGATGGTCCGTTATTGCAAATCTATTGTTATGAATATATCTTCTAAATCGCCTTACTAAATTGATAAGTCGATTGTTTATCTACTATTGGAGTCACATTTTCTCTTACTAGGAAAGTTGCAAAGCAATATCAAAATTCGGAAAATGCTCTATTCTAAACAATTATCGCTATTTTTCAACATAACGGCAAAAATATTACATTTACGTTAATAATACATATGACCTTTTCTGTAGAGCTTTCCAAAAACTTCATTTATTGTCCGAGACATTTTTCTCTAAAATTAATATTTTCGAAGATATAGTAGAAAATCAGTTTAAACTTTGGGAAAGGGTGGGGGTAAATGGGGTTTTATCGCCAAAAATCTTTCAAGGGTTTTCATTGTTGAGCTAAGGAAAAGTTTTGCACAAAAATTGAGCCCAATCGGAGGGGTGCGTTTTTCGGAACTTTATCCAAATATTTATTTGCAAGACGCGAAATATCTAACGTTTCGTCGTCGTGTCGAGACGCAAGCAGAAAATACAGTAGTAAAAATTACAACAGAACCGTCGTAATCTCGGATAGAAAAATAATCGAAATTGTACTGTATGTTTGTATAAAAATATCGTGTACGTTTGACAGCACGATATCGTAAATATCTAAATATTTCTTGCTTAGTAATTTCTTGCTTTGTAATTGTTGTTTATACCACGATATCGTGCAGTCCAGCTTTACAAAAATATTGCAGGAAGAAATTGGAAAATTTGAACGCAATTTCTACAGCAATACTTTCCCCGTGTAGGCGACCCAATATTCAAAACCGATTTAGTTTGTGCGAAATTGACAATAATTGGCAATATACATACAAGCGTGCATAATCGTCGAGGCGATGGCAGATGTCCGATTTGTAAACTCGTGTCCGCGAATGCCCGCACGATTTCACCGCGTCCGCCCGTCTGCTCCGGAATCGAATTTAAATCGTCCGAGCGGAGCTGCGAGTTGCTCTCCCGTCTAAACCATCCCCGAACTTCGCTCTCGCGCGCGACTCGCGTGATTAACAACCAAGCCGCTCTCCCGCTCGATTCTCGCGTCTACAAGACGGTCACGGCGACGTAAACACGACGCGAAGCGGATTTACACCTATTTCACACGTAATCGTCCTTCGAATCGCAACGACCGCGCGGGACCGCAGGAACGCACGCACGCACGCACGCACGCACGCACGCACGCACGCACGCACGCACGCACGCACACGCGGCACGGATCGCGATCTCAGGAACTGACGCGAGAATCCTCCCGACCCCGATTCCTACGTAATCGCGCACTTGAATCGCCGGTTCAACTCACGCGTTATTCCGTCCTGCAGGGCGATCCGTCGCATCCCACTCGTCCGCGGCCACCTCGCGGCGAGATCGTCGGTGCTGTCGGCGCGCGGGACATCATGCAGGAAGCACTACTCCTCGTCATTCGCGCACGTGCACCGTAGACGTTATCACGCTTGCTGACGGCATCACTCCATTATCGCGGCGCGTCATTCACTGGCGTCGCGTGTGGCCGCGGCGGACACTTTCCACCGGGGATGAAGCGGGTCACCCACTTGGTCGCGCCGTTCGCGAGGAGCATCTCCGGGTCCGCCGCGCCGGGCCCTCGGGACACCTCTCCGAGAGGGACCTGCCTGTGTTTACTCGTCCTCGATCGGCCGCGTGCGGAAGTCGACGCGATCGGGAGAGTTCGTTTGCACCTGCCGGCTGAACCAGCCGGACGACGATGGCTGCCGGTCGCGCATCCTGGCCGCTCGTCAGCCCGACTCACCCCCGCGATCGCCGGACAAACCACCGTATCTCTTCCGTCCGACTTTCGTCCGGAGGAAGACGCGTTTTGTATCGCACCGCACCGCACCGCACCGCACCGCACCGCTTCGCACCGTTCTCACCTCGTTCTTGCCTCTCACAGTTGCTCTTCACGTCAACGCACCTCACAGGACACAGGAGGAACGAACCTGCCGGAATTCATTCACCCGTCACTACAGTGTCGTGCTCGCGACGCGACAAATCGGAAAGACCCGCCGCACGAAAGCCCGGCTCCGACGCGACGAATCGGCGCAAGCTCCGAACCCGGAGCTTCGACTCTCGCGAAGTCGATTTCGCGGGCGCGCGGAAATATTCCCCCTCCCCCTCTTTCTCTCGTCCTCTTCCCCCCCCCTCTCTCTCTCTCTATATATATATATATATATTTATGTATATGTGTATATCTATTTGTTGCTGTCTCTCTCGCTCTCCTTTTCCGTGGAGAAATGAAAGACAAACTGCAATTTGACTTGTTTCGATCGGAAATCTGTTCACCTCTCCGGACTTGCCTACACGGTGAGCTTTCTCCAAGCACGATAGCTTAATCGGAATAAGGAATAAAAAAGAACAGAAGGGAGAGGAAAGAAAAGAGAAAGACGGAAACAGAAAAAGAGAGAGAGAGGGAGAGAGAGAGAGAGAGAGAGAAGCACACGTGTACGACAGATAGAAACAGACGGCCAAATAGAAATCACGAGGGAGGAATGGAAGCGACAGAGGCAAGAAGAAGAGAGAGAAAGAGACAATCCGGAGCACTCGCGTACTCGGCAAAGCTCGCAGCGTGGCGGGTCGGCCGCGACTGAATCGTTGCCGAGTCGACTCGCGTCGAGTCGAGTCGAGCTTGAATGAGCCAGCATAGCTCGGGCTCGCGAGTGGGAGAGAGAAGGAGGTGGATGCCGGGCGTGCGGGACGAGGATAAAAGGTTAGATGTATAGCACCGAGGGAGAGCTTAAGTCCACGACCAATGCCACCGGCGAAATTTCCAAAGATTCGTGCCCGCAATCTTTAAAGGGATCACGCTGCTTTCGCGACGACGGCGACGGCGACGGCGACGGCGGCTTTAAGACGGCGGTTTCGCGACGAATGTCCTCCGTGAATCCGATTCTCAGCGCGACGCGTCTCCCCGTTTCCCTCGGAATGTCGATGTCGCGCCTTGACATCTGCCGTTCACCCTTCCGCCGTCGAGGGAGGGATGATCGAACGCCTTGGGAGATTGGATTGTTGCGTCGCGTATTAATTTTACGTAAATAATTCGCGATCGCGTCGAGTAATATCGCGAGAGGGTGAGGGGGGCAGAGATGGACTGGTAGATCAATCAATTTATTTCACTCGGAGGGTCAGCATCCCTTGCGGAAGCGACTTACAGAGACTTACAGAGAGCGCTTACGGTGAGGTATAAAAACGCTGCGCAGAATAAAGGAGGCGCGGTGTAACAAGCAGAGGGAAAGGGAGAGAAAGGAACAGTGAGGAGAGTTGGACATACAAGAAACAATGAGGGTAAGCTGTGTAACAAAGAAGGTCGTCGATGCAAAGCTGCGGTGAGTACTGTAAAGTAACAACGTTCGGAACTCGGTTGATACACAACAAAGCGAACGAAAGACGGAGATGGACGAACAAACAGAACGCAAAGGAAATTATTTACCGGCGAGTGAAGTAGGGCGAAAAATCGACGAGACAATCTCTGCGACGACTAAATGGGGTGCAGCGAGCGACTCCGAATCCACCGCGGAAGCTCCGCTCTGTCTCACGGCGATCTTTCTTATTGCGCTCGGCGCCAAGTTGAGGTTTTGCCGCGCGTGGCACTAAGCCGGGATCGTAGTGAAATACACGCGACGGCGATCCCACGGCCATAAATGGCTACAATTCTCCGAGCCGGGGCAGAGAGAATTTATAATTGCCGAAGAAGGGCGGCGAGCGCGCGCGCGCGTACACGTTTGTGATTTATTAAATCGCCGACATAGTTGGCGGATAGTTTGTCTTGCAGCGGTCGCAGCAGCAGCGACTCGCCGTCGCGTCGACGCGAATCGCTATGAGTTATCGAGTACACGCGGCGATTCTCGCGCGCGTCGTTGTTTACAAAGTCGCGGACTTCACCGCGAACTTCTGCGCGGCCAGGGGGCCAGGGGGTTAATGTTTCAGCGCTACCTCGATAACTCCTCGTGTGTGATGCGCGCGCGACATTCGCGTGGATATATTCAGGAGGTGGGAGTTATCGGTTATCGAGCTGCGCTTCCGCGCGGCGCGAA